CCCCAAAACCCCAAAACCCCAAAACCCCAAAACCCCGTTTGGAGTAGAACATTTCAGATAATTAGTAATATAAATGTGCAGTATGATGGAGAACTCTTTTCATCTTCGTTTCCCTGAATCTAAGTATTCCTACAACCAGACTCCAGGCATAGATTCTAACAGATCTCCCACTTCAGAACTTGTCAGTCTAAGAAGGGTCAAAAGGAAAGGATCCGAACAGAAATTGCTAACAAAAGTGGTCCCTAATAATTTGAATATGCTGAAATAATTATTCAGGAAAAAGTGATCACCACTTACCAAAAAGTAACTTTCTACGACAAAGAAAATCTGAGTTAGCCAAGATTACCAATACTGAGGAAGGGCTGGACAAGCATTACTTTAATGAGAAATATATTGACAATAGACAGGCTAAGATGCAAAACAAAATATGGGTAATTTCATAGCAAACATGCCTAACAGATTTAGGCTAATTATATGCAGACCAGAGGTAAGAATAGAAGAGGCACAGACTACCACTCTTCAGATGGACCTAGAAATCAAGGTTTCAGCATGAGCCTCCTTCAAATGAAGAAGCAGGGAAGCCAGAATCGATTACAAATGAGAGCAAACAAGAACTCACAAGATTTTGGAGCAAAGATCCAAAATAATGATGCGAAAAATCTTAATTTCAGTTTTCTTGAGTCTAAAAGGCATATAAACCAGGAAGCCAGTGAGGCTCAATCGCCCCAGAAGAAAACTAAGACAAAGGGGTATATATTCTTAAGAAAATCTAAAAATAAATAAGGAAAAGGATAACTCTAAAATTAATGATATCAGCGATAGTAACCAATCTTTGCAGAACTCTCCTGATCAAAGGGAGGAGTACAAGATTACTCAAGAAAATAACGAATTAATAGAGAAAATGATAAACCGGAAGCGACAAAGTTCAGTAACTGCAGAGTCACAAGCCAAGCCACAATCAAAATTAATAATTTTGAACAAAAAGTCTAGGAGAAACGTAATGAAAAGAGTACTTGATAAGAACAATAAGCGAAGTTTCCTGAATGAAACTCATATTAGTGCTAACAAAAGTCAAATTTCATCCCAGAAATCTCCAAATTTCCCCAAAAGGAACCTCAGAAGGAAGTTGCAAAGTACTAAAGTTATACCAGGTCTTTGCATGAAAAATAAAAAACAGGGTCAGTCAAGAAATTCTTCAAAGGAAATTATGATGCTTAACCTGATTAACCCAGATCATAGCAGGGCGAGTTCGACGTTAAAGCAAGTTTCGCAGGAGGTGAAACAGTCCCAAGAAGATGCTTCAACCAAATAATACTTTAGAAGTTCCCTTAAATCTTCAGCCAAGTGGCAACATGCAATTCAAGAAAGATAAGAAAAGAAAGCTATCTCAGGAAGAATTTTTAGAGAATATATCCCCTCTAGCAAAAATCTGCGAAGAGGAATCACCAGAATTTGCTAACCAGAATGAAGAAGACCCAAGCCCAAAGTTTACACTTGAAATTGCTGACACTTGGGGCGATGATGCTGTCCAGGTGGATGACTCCTGCACTGACATAATGAAAGATATAGAAGCGCTTAAGCTAAAGTACAAGTTGAGGGAAAACTGGCTTGATAACACAACTAACGAATCAAAGCCATTTGTTAGTGAAATCTCAGCGATATTGCCCCTGACCAAAGAATAAATTTTACTATTCCTAATTTAGAATTTTCACAGCAATGTTATAATATGTATTAAGATTTTTCAAGGAAATAGTAAAAAATAGGGGTTTTGGGGTTTTGGGGTTTTGGGGTTTTGGGGTTTTGGGATTTTGGGGTTTTGGGG